ATACATATATACATACATATACATGTACATTTACATATACCAACTTGCATGCATACAGATGTACACGCACCTACACACTTACCTACCTACATACATACATACATACATACATACATACAGGCACTTTTCAAACTGCTACCTCCTGTACTGGATGCAGGGTGTAGGCCTCGGGCTTCAGGTCTTTAGGTTTCAGGGTTCTAGGTTCTAGCACTTGAAGGGATCGGCTTCAGGGTGTAAGCTTTGAATTTGGGTGTTGGATTTGATGCTTCCTCAAGGAAGGGCATGGCTGTGCATGAGAGCATCAGAGGATGCTGAGCTGACCACGTTCCTGCAAGGACTTCGCAACGCATCGGGATCGCGGTTTAGAACTTCTTAGGAGCCCAATAGGTAAACTTTAAACTTTTTTGGTATATTAAGCCCCTGCAAATCAAAAGTTTAAACTTTTTTGGGGCAGGGTATTGGGCTTAAAGGACTTTCGATTCAGACTTGATCTGAAGAACCAAGTTGTGCCGAGGTTAGAGCTTTCGGATTCATTGTCAAGGTCCGGAGATGTCTGGAGTGAGTCTCGATCGCTTTACGTCGAAGCTCCTGAGCAATGAAGACGGCAGGACTACTATCCGCTTTGTAATCCGGTTTGTAGGGGCACTGGCTGCGGGTTCTGGAATTCGGGCTGATGTGCAAGTCGATTCCAGCCTGCAGTCTTCGTTTGACCGTCTTTGGGACAATTCATCGCAGTTGGGATCCTTAGTGAAAGTCTGCTCTTTGGCCTTGTTTCTGTGAGTGTCAAGTGTCAAGACCTCAAGCCCTCAACACGTAATCCGCCGACACCCCAAATGCAGAAATCCCAGCGACGATTTGCCACTGAGCAGGGAGAACTGTCTGTTGTACCACATGCTCAGGTGGAAGTCCCGGACCGTATCAACTCTGATCCCTATGAGCGCCAGACTTGGCTTCGATGTTAAGGTTTAGGGTTACTACTTAAAGGATCATGGGACTTAGTAACTAGGGTTATATTTAAGGTAACTATACTTATTACTTATAACCCCAATTAAGGTACCTATAACCCTACTTACTAAGTCCCATGATCCTCCAAGTATGGGAGTCTTAACAATTACCACTACTATTTTGGGGTTCCTTCTTATAGTTATAGTATAATATACCACGAGACCTTGTTCTTATTCATAAAACCCATACATCAAGGCAACCCAAAGTCTTCAACCCTAAAGGGAACCCTAAGTCTTCAACCCTAAACTCCAATGTTTTAGGGTTTAGGGTTTAGGGTTTAGGGATGACTATCGAATGGTTGCCCTATGTGATTGAGCTGCTCCCAGCTACATAATACTCCAACATGTGCAAGAGAAGATGTGTGTTCTTTCGCGGCCTGAGCCTGCCAGAGCACCTATAGTACCCCTAAACCCCAAACCCTCAAAGGAACCCTTACAAGAAGCCGTATAGGATGGCCGGATGTCTTTGAATAAATCTGATTGGTTTCTGATTCAGGTCTGCAGAGATCGGGTCGGGTCTGACTTGCGCAGGGGCGAAAACAAATACTACGGTTGATGATATAAATCGTGCAGTACCCTTAATAAGGAATATACAATAATTCCCGTAGTTTAGGGCCCTTAAGGCAATGCAGGATTTTTATCATCAACAGTACCACTATTCCTTACGGTTCCTTTTACGATACGTAGATTGTATTAATCGACCTATGCTGGTAGTTAAGGACCATATATGTTTCCTTCAGGCTGGACCGCTTGCTACCCTAGAACCCCAAACCCCTAAACTCTAAACCCAAAGCCCCTAATCCCCAATCCCCAATAAACCCTTACACCTAAACCGTGCTTTGCCAATCCAGAAGAACCCAGAGAACTTAATTAAGGAATATACCTTAAGTCAGGAGGCCCCTATAATTTAAGGTATATTCCTGAATTAAGGAGTATATACTGGGTTCTCTGAGAATGCGGGCCGGCCAAAGGACGGGAGCAGAATGGCCAGTTAACGGCTGCGAATGGGATTTCAGGGTTCAGGGTTCCCAAAGCGTCCCATTTACCTGTATACTAGAATGTAGGGTTTCTATGTACAAGTATGACCTAGTGAAGTATGCCCCATAACAGAACACAGGACCCTTTGCGGCTGAGGGTTGTCGCAAAACGCCACGCAGTGCTACCTGAGGACCCCAAGTAGCCACCTAGATGTAAAAATTGGAAGCCTACACCCGCAGAAGGGATCTTTCCCCAAAGCGAGTCATTTTACGTGCTCTATGTTTAGCTGCTGTCTTACTCCTAGTTAACTAAACAGGTTCTTGAGTAGTGCCCTTCTGCCCTTTTCATTGTAGGGCCCGTCATTAAAGCCGAATATACGGAAAAAGGGTACCCTCATTATCCAGGGGTCACTCAGGAACCTTGAGGAGTTTAGGGTTTAGAGTTCAGGGTTTAGGAGTTTAGTGTTTGAGCTGCCCTACTCCGAGAACCCTAAACCCTAAACCCTAAACCCCAATAAGATAGTGACAGTGTGCCTCACTGCTGCTTTTTCTTGTATAATAAGATAACCCCTACCTAACCAGACCCGAAGCCCTACCTACAAGCCAATCGGAGATTCGAGGCTGATCGGTATGGAGAACACCGCTGACAAGAAGGAGGACGCAGGGATTCGTGTTCAGGGTATCCATTATTATTTACTATCGAATTTCCGTAGCGCTGCTTATATTAACTTTCATGTTAAGACCGTAAGTATGATTAGCAAGGGCTGCTTGTTCAGGGTACGAAGCCCCTCAAAGCACTCCAAACTGTTAAAGATTTTGAGCATGAGTGGTTCGCGGAGATGAACCTGAGATTGAACATCTTACAACGAAATTCATGGACCCCCCTAAGCCCTAAACCCTAAACCCTGCGAACTACCTCTGTGTCAGGATCATGCCCTATGTCCTGAAGCTGCTTGACCTCCAAGTCTGTACCCTAAGCCTCCAAGCCCTCAACCAGCACATCTCCGAGGCCTAAAGCCCAAAGCGCAAAGTACTGTAGGGGCCTTAATAATCAACATAGGTTCGGAGGTCTACTATACTATAGCTATTAACAAGGACCCCCCCCCAAAAAAAAAAATACTAATTGTAATTGTTCAGGCCGCTATATTACAGGCATCAACCGTGAACCTCCAAACCTGACGCCACTCGACTTTTATGCCAGGACTACAAAACTTTCTACATGAAGTCCAAGTACCGACAGGACACTTACCAGGCCAGTCGATCGAATTACTCAGTGCCTTGCAGCTGGTTGCCACGTGTTCTTGCATGGCCGCTGTTTTAAAACTCTCTCTCTCTCTCTCTCTCTTTCTCCCGCTCTGGCATGCTACATGTGCACATTTGTATTTATTCTGTGTATAGACACAGAGACTCAAAAACAAGCACATGCACGTACATGTGTATACATACATACATATATATATATATATATGTGTACACATTTCTGCATGCATGCATGCATGTATGTATGTATGCATGGATGTATGTATGTATGTATGTATGTATGTATGTATGTATGTATGTAGGTGTATACATATATATATATATATAGTAATATTTATATGATATATATATATATATATACATAATACGCATGCATATCTGCGGTACATCTACATATGTACCTATGCATTTATACATGTACACATCTTTATACATACCCATATATATATATATACACAGAGAGCAGCAGATTCACATGAACAGATCCAATCACAAGCATTCATATGTTTGTGTGTGTGTATGCATGCACGCATGATTTATACATTACATTATACACGACCGTGTACTACGAATTAGCACCACACCACCCCTCTACAGCCGCGGAGCTGGGTGCTTCACAATGCCAGACTTGTCTAACCGCGGATGAGTCAAGGCTTGATGGTACAAAATTCGCAAATTGGGTGCGGCCACGCCAAAGAAGGGACCATGGAAAAGGCAGAGCGACAGAGAGAGCGAGATAAACCTGTGCATGTCGTGACATGTCTTCTGGCTCTCTGTAACGAGACGGCCGCAGCATTCTGGCTTTCATAGCGAGTGCTCGAGTCGTAGCCTGTCTCAGATTCAACATCAATCCCCGCCATTGCCTGCCATATCCAGAGGAAAGATGCTTCGCATCCTCGTCGTGGCCGTGTCTCTGTGTCTCGCCAGTCGCGCTGGGGCAACCCGCGTTGCTGACCAGAAGCTCGTGCACTTGCACCAGGCCGGGTAGACGAACTTGCTTAGGCAGTCAGAAAGAAGGAATAGGAGTTGCAAGCACGAGTGTTTAGGAGGGCTTCGACGAGAAGTACTCCTATAGCAGCCACCTGACAGGATGAGACGCTTGCCGTTGGCAAAGCCCCGGAGGATCTC